AAGACGTGTGGACTTTGCTGGCTGGGGAATTCTGGGAGTTGAAGTCCACACGTCTTAAAGTTGCCAAGGTTGAGAAGCACTGCACTACAGTATTGCTGGCAGATGACCATCCAGCCTCAGTCCAAAAGTCTGTAGGAAAGGAGAACAAAGCCCATCATGTGGCAGCCATGAAAAAAAAGCTTTAAAGTCTCTTCTCTACTTGCTAAATGGCGCCCATGTTGGTTGATTAATTGATTATGTGCCATCAAGTTGGTGTTGATTCATAGCGACCATATAGATTTTCTCCAGGACAATCTGTCCCCAACATGGTCCTTCAGATTTTCCAAGTGTGCACCCATCCTCCCTGTAACTAAGTCCATCTCCCTTGGTGATGGTCATCCTCTTCTTCTCTTTCCTTCCACCTTTCCCAGCATTATGGACTTCTCTGGACAGCTGGGTCTTCATGTTGATTGATTGACTGATTATGTGACATCAAGTTGGTGGTGATTCTTAGAGGTCCCATAGTTCGAACTCCTCCAGGAGGATCTCCCCCTACCTGGTCCTTCAGATCTTCCAAGGGTACCCTCATTGCCACTGTAACTGAGTCCACCCACCTTCTGCTGGTCATCCTCTTCTTCTCTTTCCTTCCACCTTTCCCAGCATTATGGACTTCTTCAGAGAGCTGGGTCTTCATGTTGACTGATTGACTGATTGATTATGTGACATCAAGTTGGTGGTGATTCTTAGAGGTCCCATAGATAGAACTTCTCCAGGATCATCCGTCCCAATGTAGCCCTTCAGGTCTTGTTGTAACTGAGTCCCTCTACCCCGCTGGTGGTGGTGGTGGTGGTGGTGGTCCTCCTCCTCCTCCTCTTCCTCTTCCTCTACCTTTCTCAGCATCAGACCCTTCTCCAAAGAACTGGGTCTTTGCATCATGTGTCCAACACAGAATAATCTGAGCCTGATCATTGGTGCCACCCCGAGTGAGAACTCTGGATTGATCTGCTCTCACCCGCAGGGCATGTCTGAGCTTCCAGGCTTATTGAGCCAGGCCATATACTCTACAGAAGTCACCCCCCCCTTACTAATCTCTTCAGAGTTACTGCTCTGTTCTCCGAGTGCAAAGCTGATGAAGGATAAAAGTATTCCCAAGTCCACCAAAGTCTCCTGGGGATGCACCAGCTGGTTTCCTACAACATATTATACTAAGCAAAAGAGTTGGGCAGTTTGGGGGGGTCAGTCAAGGGTGGGAACTCAGCCCTTGTCTTCTTGTGTGATGCGAACTAAGTCATTGCATTAGACCAGGACAGTGTTCCTCAACCTTGGCCACTTGAAGATGGGTGGACTTCAACTCCCAG